AGCAATAATTCGAGGAAGCTGTCGCAAACTCACGAGTGGAGACAACTCGTGACACCACTGCCTGACAGTTTCTCGGTTCTCCTAGCCATATACAGCTTTCGCTGTAACAATTATTCGCAATAGTTTACCTAAAAACACTTCTGAAACATCCAGTTGAGAGCCAGTCTGCAGACGTCACCACCTCCACAAGCTGCGTGGTTGTGACGATAAATTGCAGGGTTTTCCCGTGCTACACACTGCGTCAGCTTTCCCGGTAACGGAACAGCATTAGGCGCTGGATTTTATTGTGATAGCAATTATACGGGCACTTTCGGCTGGATTTGCCCCCGGTGTCGACGTCACTCGCCGTTAATCTATACGTATCTTTATATATGAGGACGCAAAAAAGAAAAAAAATGCAGAAAAAGACTCCGGTGTGCAGAACCGAACGTGCGACCTCCACGTCATGAACGCGAGGCGTTAACCACTGAGCCACTGGGAGGCTTTTTTTTTTGCTTTCTTTATTGCCTGAGCCACTGGGAGGCACCTCCTTCAGCGTTCAAATGGCAAGCTATTTATATCTACCACATATTGCTGTTGGTGGGCTTCGCGGTTAAGGTGGCGGACTATCGTGTTTTAAGCATTATGAGCAAGATGGCGCAATGAGCGCACGGTGGCTCTCATTTCTCATGCGTACATTGGCCCGCGAAGAGGAGGGGAGTGAACGATCTCTCGCGCGCCCTTATTTCGCAGTGGGGAAGATCATACGTCTTCACTGGCGTTAGGCTTGCACTGCAGCGATTCTGATGTAGTTATGGGGTGCACAAAGATAACTGCAATCGTTGCACAGTCCCGATTTGTGAAAAGTGCACGTTTTTCAAACATAGAGAAGTAACAACTGAGACGCTTCGTGTTCATCTGTACCTGTGAGTAAGTTTTGTGCCTCATTTGGGCTGAAAAACGTGGGGCACGCTTCAACCTGCTTGCTATTCTTCGCATGACCTTCCAGTTTGTTGCTATCGCTTTCATTGCTTCACTTTTGCGGCAAGGCTGTGACTTTTTAAGCCCCATCAAGACACAGAATGCACAAAGAAAGAAAGTAATGCACCGTCTCCCATTAAAGCGAAACACAAGTAGCATGCGAAGCAGCGCACGGGTCGATTTAAAGTTCCGTTAACGCGTCCTTGCCAGTGGAGCACACCAAGAAGCCACTGCACCAGTAGTTTTTGTGGCTCTTACTTCCTTGGACTTTTGTTGGAGCACGCAACGCGGGTTCATCGTGAAATCACGTGCGAGCACGTGGGCACATCGCACGTCGTCAGAATCTCATTCCCCGACGCCATCACTTCATTGTTGAGAGAGCGTAAAAGGGAGGGCGTCTTACCAAGCCTGTTACACAAGCCCGAACGTGCCAGCGCGTGAGCACCTTCCGGGAGTTAGCCACCATACGGGAGTGCTTGTGTTGTGCATGCGCAGTGAGAGTGGCCACGCACACCTGACTGAGCCCGAACATAAGCCACAGAGTGACATAGTAAACATAAATAGTGGTCAAAGGCTGCCTGTCGCGGCCCAAAGCCGTAGGTTTCCTGCCGTCTGTTAGGTAGCGCCCACAAAAAACTGAACGTGTACTGATCGATAACTACGTTGCTAATAAACAACTTACGCTATAAAAGTAATATATGAAATAATTATTGGGTAAAACAGTTTTCGAAAATTTTAAAAGGCGGTTGCCTTGGCTACGGCAAATTCACACGCATCGCTGCCTGACCATACCTGGATCTCCTGTTGCCCCTGCATCACCACGGCACCGTTCTCTCCCACCGGCTACAGCGGTACACACGTTTTACGCATTGAACCAGAAAAAGTAAGCGAATCGAACTAATTTACATTCTAGTAATCTACTACAGTTGGTCCCAAGGCCACAAATACGTGATGAAAAGCGTTTTTTTCAAGTGCTTTGCTGTATCCGCGAGTAAGCGTTCCTGCGCGTATGACAGCGTTGCTGCCACACGTCAAGCAAATAAAAAAAATCGACACCTTTAAAACCAAGGAATCAGGTTTTATTGTGCAAATACACATAAAGCACATCAAGAACGACTATTTCGGATAAAAACTGGTCAAAACCACTACCTATATACTAACGAGAAATGATCAAGCTACAACACAGACGCGTTTCCCGTGACTAGCCCTAACTTGATATCGTGAATTAGCCAGCGCTTTTTTATACAAGAAAAACTCCCCTTCAATTCATTAGCATCTCCTTAGTTTCTTTCGTGAGCATTCTGTGCTCACTTGCAATGCATATTTACCCAGGCGTGCGTTTGCAAGTGGAAGTATGATCCGCATTCCACTTATAGCTAACTCAGTCACCCTTGGCTAGCACGCTTCCTTTCTGGATTGTGTATTCGGTCGGTAATCTAAATAACTTTTAATCTCCGAATCGTAACGTAATTGTTCGAGAAGGTAGTAAAGTGTACTTTCATTTATGCTAACATGAATACCGCATTTAGAACTGGAACTCATTAAAATTAATAATTCACAATAGAAGTGCAATTAGAGCTGATTCACTGCAAGACTGGTAAAGTCGAGAACAGAATCAACGAGCAGTTTTAAGATCTTTTACTAAGAAGAGTAGAGCTAACATACTGTGGTACACCGCTATGACCTCTGTTATTACCAACGTAAACAAAAAAGCTGAAAGACACCCTTCGGATCTCTCTCAATCTTTCATAGACGCACGTAACAATGGCGAGCGAGGCAAAAGTTTTTCTTTACACCACGGCGACCCCACCCCCACAAAAACAGCTGGTATTAGAACGCCGCAGCGCCAAGTCCAATTTGCCCAAGACATGCATTACATACTAGACACAGTAAACTTAGAAAACTTTGATAGCTAAAATAACCAGACTTTTTCTTCGTCCCTCTTTCAAAGACTTTCCGCCACTTTCCGCAAGAACACCACAATCCAACCCCTTCCTTAAGAATGGTAAAAATACACTTGTAGCATGGGAGCGGTGAAATACGATCTGCCCGGAATGTTTTTCGCCATAACACCCGCATACGTGAAAGTAAAAAAAAAACGCTCCGTGATCAGAAAGTTGGTAGAATTTCGCAAATTAAATGTTTGCCCCAGATCGCCTATCTGAATCAGCCCCTGTGGGAGCGATCAATTTGGAATACTCACCAATTGGCCTCCGCGCTTGAATAATCAACGGCACAGCACACACATCCATATCATACAAGGCACCTAATATCCCAAGTACTGCGCCCCTCTTCTTTGATTCAAGAGTCAATATAAATTCCAAGTAGGCTCATGTTAATCACTGCAGGCGGCATCACCACTCCATCAGCGGCCAGAACAAATGCCCGAAGGCAGCCATGGAACTTTCAACAAGAACGACGTTGCAGTAGCTGTACGATAGCGCGAATGCTGTTTAAATACACCATGCACACACTATAAGCAAACGCGGGCAGCAGCGCAACAGTACATGCCGCACAGGTTCTCTTGCGGAAGCACCATAGTGAAGTTGGCGACACACGGATGGAAGTAGCCACCATGTTAGCCGCTTTCTTTGTATCACATTGAGACCACTGGAGACACAAAAAACATCTCACGCCGGGAGCCGGGTTTGCCGGCTCAGAGGAGTTCCCAACGAGCTCCCAACGGTCACGGCTTATATAGACATTGGCCGTAGGTGCGTGCCATTTCGTGGCGTGATTCGCAATAGCAAATAGAGTGACATGGTGACCTCCTTGTCCTATTATTTCCTCCTCTGCGCACAAGTGAAGAGGGAGTGGAAGAGGAGGGAAGAAGTTATGGGTAGATATTCCCCTAGCCTCCTCTCCTCCTATGGAATACTAACTAAACGTGTCGTGCGTGAGTGTATATAATGCCCTCTCCGCTCTATTCTCCTTCTGCATGAGCTGGGCGCACAAAAGGCAGCTTCTCTTTGCCTTCCGCTGATGGGCGATAGCTTTCCTTGGTAGCGTGTTAATTTTTTAGCTAGCTTGGGTCAGCTGTGTGCCCAAGTGTTGCAGAAAATTTTGAAAAATGGTGATATTAACACCTAGAATACTGAAGGTAATCTTCTTAAGCTTTATGGTTCCATGTTCAAGCCGAGCGAATGAAGCATACATATATAAATTAACTGAGGCACACTTATTATCATAAAACCGCAGGCTCATCACCGCTGAAAATGGCCGTGGCGTCAGGAGACAGCTCCACTATGCTTCCCCGTAATGAGAAGAAATGACATATACTTCTTCCGAAGATGCATGTAAAATCTACCGAGAAACACCAACCCTGAATTTCACTTCAACCATCGGAAACAAGGAGCCAAGGAGCTACAGCGCACCTATGGCCAAGAAGTAGGAGTTAATTGTGTGGACGACGACGCCTACACCATCAAACATTGCTATAACCTTGCTGTTGTGGGCAGTGAGAGCCAGATGATTTTCAAGAGCAATACTCATGGAGTGTTGGTTTTCATGCTGCTTTCTTTACAGCTTGTCTGATTATTCGTGCGGATTCTTGCATCAAGACCCAGTAATGTTAACAGCCCATTTAGCTATAGTAGGACCTACATTAGAATAAGCAAGTATCATATGGGACCCTTATCAGAAAGGACTAATCAGTTAAGCTGAGCGAGTTGCTTACCGGCAGGTCGCGGGATCGAATCCCGGCTGTGGTGGCTGCATTTTAGATGAAGGCGAAAATTTTGTAGGCCCATTGACTTTGGTGCACGTTAAAAAATCCCAGTTGGTCAAAATTTCCGGAACTCTGCACGACGGCGTCTCTCGCATTCATATGGTGGTTTTGGGACGTTAAACCCCACATATCAATCAATCAGGTAGAGCGAGTACAAAGAATAGCTGCCAGATTTATTCTTTTAGGATACTATCGAACTAATTATGTGACAGAGATGTTGCAACAACTTACCCACCATTTTGGAACACCTGTCGTGTAGCCAGACTAAAATTCTTGTTTTTGCTTTCTCAAAATACATTTCACTTTGATGTAGCGCAGTACCTTGTTCCACAACCTGTCCAGAACATACGAAGTGACTACCACAGCAACTTTCAAATCCCCAAATCTCATATGAACACATACGTATGCTCTTATTTTCCTAGAACCATAAGCGACTTTACGGAATTCTGAAACGTTAGAAAATCGAATTCAATACTATCGAAATTTTTATAAGTAAATCTTTGTAAATGCTAGCTTCTTTAAAATTTCATTGTGTGTACCGAATCACACCAATTTCGTGTGACTTGTATTTTGATGCTTAATGTTTTGTAGTGAATGATGTATGGATAATGCAGGTGGTGGAGCAAAACAATGTGAAGGAAAATTCTTGTATTTTTTTCGCCAATGCATTGCTTCTTTATGCTTGACATGTTAGTTATTAGGTCATTATTCGTTCACTGTCTATACGTAATGATACACTGTGGTCTTTAGACTTTTGTATAAGATGTTCCATGCTATTTCGTGTAAACAGTGGTTACATTTATGCCCCACCCCTGCAACGGCTCAATCAACCAACAGTACCTGTAAATAAATAAATAAATGAATAAATAAATAGATAAATAAATAATAAACTTTTACAATATTTAGAATATTTACTGATCTGTTGAAATATTCGTGTTGACAATGAATCTGCTTGCGAATATTGTGGACCTTGTTTACGGCTTGCTCGATGCGATGGTGAAATTCCTACACAGCATTGCTATTTACAAAAAACAAACACAATACAATGCAGTTGTATAAGTACTAAACGTTATGCATTGATGGCTCAAATTTCCAATAGGGAGGTAATGCATTACTTAGAAACGCCTGTTCAGATGATTGATATTGATTTTTAGGTACTACTGTCTGAATAAACACAATTTATCTGTAAAGTGGGCGTGCATTTTTTTCTTCCGTAAGAAGTGCGAACAGATGAACGTATTTGCAATAGCCATGCCCGCAGCCTATTTGTCCCTAAAAGACAGGTAACGAAAGCACTCCCAAATAACAGTAGAAGAAACACCCGACCTTCGCAGAAGAATGCTCAAACTGAAACTGAAACCACTGCGGCCTTATGGCGAGACCAGAAAAGGAACCTTGTGACAGTTTGATGCCGGCCACTAGGAGTGCTAGCAGTCATGTGGGCCGCATGGTTCAACGGGAGTGTCCGCTCTTTACGTTGACTATGTTGCTCCATGCTGTTTTAAAAGAAAGGCCAGGCGCGTGGGCAGGCAAACAGGGGGGCACCTATCGGAGTCTTCCTTCGGGTTTGGCACCACAATTGCGAAACTACCTTATTATACATAAACACCCAAGCTTTTCCCTCGTGCGAGTGTTCCACCAGAGGTTTCCTTCCATCAGCAGTCGCTGAAAAGTCGCCCTATTTCGTTAGCTCATGCCAGCATCACCGCCGAAAAGATACGCTCTTCAAGGCACCCTTTATGGGACCTTGATTCACGGTTGTTTCATTTTACTGCACACTGATTCCTATTGAATCCCTTCATTCATTCGCTTGATTGATACGTAAGTCACTTTGGTTACTTGGCGCGATCTTGAAGGACATCTTTTTATTCAAGTTGATTTAGTTGAATCACTCCGTTCAGTTCCACTTGTTCACATTCAAGACGCGTGATTAACTCCGCTTTACTCCTATGCTGGTTATTCATTGACTTGAATGCACGCCATGGCTTACTACACGTTCGCTTTTATATACGTTGAATTAGTCATCTTCGATACACATTCATTCATTTCTGATCTCTTTAATGAGCGTTAATCAACTATAAAGTAATTAGAATTCACTTCTTATCAGTTAGCAATATTTCGCCGGAAGTTTCATTCATGTTTGCTAAGAGCCATCACATGCCTTAAATACCATTGCAGGGAGGCCAGTGTGAGCGTCCTCGGCGTCGTGCCTGTGAGCCGGACCCTTGCGGCTTGGGAGCGTCGTGCCTGGTACGCGGCAGCGCCTTCTCCTGCCGATGTCCGGCGGGTCGCAGTGGCCGCCTGTGTGAAGGCCGAGCCGCGGTGCCGGACTTCGCAACCGATGGCTACCTAGAGCTGCCGCGCCTGCACAACGTCGGTCAGGCCTTCTCCCTCGAGCTGTGGTTCCTCACCAGGGCTCCACAGGTGCAGTACAGCACTGGTTTCAGCCAAAGTGATTGCAGCGTAATTTTGTAGTTGCCACGACGAGTCTTTAGTGCCGTGGAGCACAAGCCGCTTTTTATTTTATTTTTTTAGTCTATTTCTAGTCAACTTTAGCTCAGGCCATTCCAAAATTGTAAAAATGGAGTCGCATTGTCTTGCCTAAGGAGTGTCTTGCCGAAGTCAAGCATTCATACCAAGAATTTATCAATTTCACGTCAAATTGACCATCTACAAATAACTGCATAAACAAGTAATGTTGTACGCCGAGCCGTCAAAAAGATTACTAGGATCTTGATGTTGAACTAGAGCTCACGTCTGCAAAAGACACAACGCAAACTGTTTGGTGTTTTACCATATGTTTTTGGTTTTCACATGAGCTCAAGCACATAGTCAACTGTTTTTATATAGAGGTTCTTTTCAGTGCACCCAATAAGGCTCAACGCACCTGTCATGTGGTCGACGAAAAATATGATAAAGTTCAGAAGAAACAGAATGTGTTTGCTTTACAAAAGAAAGTGGAAAGTTCGTGAGGTGCAGAAAAGAGGTAGCTTAATTATTGCCCTAAACCTGCTATCGTATATATATATATATATATGTATATATATATATATATATATATATATATATATATATATATATATATATATATATATTTATTTATTTATTTATTTATTTATATAAACACGTGGGATGCCGTGTCGACAAAACGACGGATCCGAACATAAAACATGACGTTTCTCAACGTGGTAGCAGCAGCATTACAAGCATCTCGACCCTGTGCTTTGTGCTCAAACGGTTAGAGAAACGAATAGTGAACCGAGCCTAAAAGCTTGAGTTTTATAGCCAGCAGTGGTGACTTAAGCCCCGGTGGAACTGCGGTGGCGCTGTCCTTTATCGGAAACGTGTTGCAGCAAGTGGCCGTGTCACGCCGGGCTAGCCAGTGATGATACGGAGGTTGCGCAGGTTTGTGCCCAGTGGTCGCCACATCACCGCCCCTCCCCCCCTCTCAGCCCCCGCGGAGTGCAAAGCCCTCGGTGTCTGTAAAATTCTGAGAGTCGAAAAAAAATCGCCAACGCCGTGGGCTGCGACGTAGAGGGCTGTGGAAGCGTGTCTGTGGAAGAAGTGGCGCTGCTAGGTACAATCGCCGCGATGTATGGGAGCTCGAGTCGGTCAATCGAGACGTGGACGCCGTTCCCGTTCAGGCGCAGAGTGAAGTTCTTTATGTAGCGATGAACGACTAGATATGGTCCGCAGAAGGGTGACTGAAAAGGCCGGCGGACGGTGTCATCGCGCAGGAAAGCGTGCGTGCACGATGCGAGATCCTCGAACAGAGGTGTAGGCAAGAGGCTTCTGGTAGGACTAGATGGTTATTTGGTAGGCCTAGGAGGTTACGCCCAGCGAGTATAACATAGCAACTCTTTCTTGTCTTCTGTGCGTTGTTGAACATTAAAAAATTCGCAGCGTGCGCGTTAACTAAAAGCCGAATTCTCCTGTTTTTCATTCCACCTTAGCAGACTTTGACATGTACATTGAGCACCATCTTTTATTGTTCAACAACGCACAGAAGAAATCTCCCACCGGCACCACCTCAGAGGTCAAAATGTTATACTTGTTACACACTACTACAACGGCTACGATGGACGAACAGGTGTCCCTATAAGGAGCTTCGCCCCTTAAAAAGCGTTCTGCTTCAGCTGTGCTCAACGGCAGAGTTGCCAGAATTTTTTATAAATGGTGCACGTTTGGGAAGATGGTGCATGTTTGGGCATTTGGCAACTGCTTGCAACGCAGGCATCCTTTGCGTTTCTGTTCTCTCGCTTCCATTTCGCTGCCCGCACTGCTAACTTTCCTTGTAATGCCGAAGTGCAGATAATGTTCGAGTACACGTCAGCAAACTTGTCGGCAGTGGGAAGAGTGGCGAGTTCGGGTATATTCTCTGGCAGAAGGGAAGAAAGAATCTTCAAGGTGTGCTGATCCCTTTCAAAGTGCTCATTGAACCGGTCTATTAAGTAGTGCAGAAGAGGCGAGAAATACTGAATAAATAAAGCGCTCTTCAATGCTGGCCACTGGTACGGTATACTTCGATGAAGCTGTCCACCTGTAAGAAGCGGCATCATAATTTTCCCAGCTGTCAACTGTGCACTGGAAGCAGCATCACCTTTCGGAAAATAATCATCAAGCGTTATACCGTACGGCGTTTCGGCGCGACTGGTCGAGTCTCATAGAAGGGCGCTGATCGACCCAGGACACGAACTACCCAGTAATACGTGCAGGCAGCGTATATAAAGGAGGTTACTTCGCATTGCTAGGAAACAACGCGCTCAGTAACGTTCGGGCAGTGACCCTAGAAATAACAATTTTAGCGACGATACAGGCTAGCTGGTCCAGCTCCCGATTTAACGGTCACTCACAAGGTTTGACAATTTTGAGCCGACAAGCGCAATGCGTAGACGAGGCGTTCACGATCACGTCTGCCAAAATTTGCAATGCTACGCGCCACGGAAATGGGTCAAAATTCAAGATCAACGCTACTCCCCCTCCCCTCTGCCAGCGCGCGCCGAGACAATGAGGGCATGACGTGCGCGTATGAATGGCCCTACGTACACGGCAATGCTGTGACGTTGGTTCTCTACGTAGACGACTCTGCTCTGACGGTGCAGACATTGGCACGTGATATGGCGAAAATATTCAACACGGCATGCGTAGTTTATGTAATTTCTTGCTTGAAAAGATTAATAAAACTCCAGATAAATAAGGACACGCAGTAAGGGAATGTGAGCGTCTTTTGTTCCTATTTTGCTCCGGCGAATCGCGACGAGATGCGGAGCTGATTTGTCGGCGTTTCACATGCGTTCGTGTCCGCGTGGTTAGCGCATGGAGCAGACGATCGCCGTGAAACGCTCCTACGCGTTTGCGCACTCATTGTGCTCATCTATTCTACTGCGCCTAATACCCTTGTCACACGGGCACCCGTGAAGACCGTTTAACTCCCTCGTCCTTACGACAACGAAGATGCGGTCCGTGTCACACGGCCACCCTTACCCCAAACGAAGGTAAACGGAGCGTTTCGCAAAGGACGTTCAACGATCTCCCTTCGCAGCGAAACGATGTACTCTCGTCCCCAGCAATCTAGAGGTCAGAGAAAAACTTCGAGCACTAAGTGGCCGCAGTGAAAGAATAATACGTTTTGGCAATCTTAAACGTTCTTTCGTTGTAGTACTCATTCACAACGCGTGTTTGTTTACATATATTTACGCCCGCCAGTGTTCACTTACTTTCAACGCCGATGCTCTACACTCCGTGCCTCGCGAGTCGCGAGTCGGGCCGGCCGGCGCCATTGAAAAATATTTCGTCCATGCGTGTGGTTGTGCTCGTCGATGTGCCACTCATGGCAGAAAAACACAATATGTGCGCTCACGAGGCAAGGAAGCACAAGAACGTTCGTACACAAACATGAACACAGGCAACAAAACAACTAAAATCACAATGTGGCCAGCGTCACTAGCAGCATCGCTACATTTAGCGAATTCGTTTTTATTTGAAAATATTTTTATGTTTTGTTAGCCTCTTACCTCCTTAATAGTGTTTTTTTTTGTAAAAACCCCAGAACGAGGATTCACAAACAAATCAATAGAGATGAAATTAGAATACTTTTCCGAAAATCAAACAGTGCCAGCTGAGCCCCCTCGCGCCAACTGTTACAACCTTTTCATTGCCGTGTGACACTGCCACAACTCCTTCTCCGTCGAACCACTTAGGGGAGATTTACGTTGACGGTGTTCAACGGAGTTTAGTGGTGGCCGTGTGACAGGGGTATAAGCCAGCGTTTCCAAACGATCCCGCAGAAACAGGCAGAAGACCACAAAATGACGCTGGTCAACAAAGCAACGCTGCTCGGGTGCTAGGGGTTGGACATGTTTGGGCACGCCATGCGCACGTCACCTCTTCGTTGGATGTCGAAGAGGGTGAGGAAGAGATTTGGCTTGCGAAGGCTACGCGGAGGAGCCGCAAGGGTTTCGAGCTCGCATCCTCTCATCCTCGTTTCGCGCCGCTTTAAAAAACCTGTTTTCTCCGCTCGTGAGGAACCGATTAAAAAAGTTTCGTGGCAAAATGTTCCTCATCGGACACCCAACAACTTCCACTGTCTAAGTAAAATTTTGTATGACGCCTGATGAGTGGCCGTTTAAACAGTTGCACTTATTTCTTGCCTGACGGAAAGATTCGCGGGTATACATTTTCTCCGCTCCCCTTCAGGTGCCGGTAAGGTCGCGCTCGCCCAGTGTCTTGTGGTGTCATTCTTTGGCAGATTCGGAGAACTTCCGGTAATACTTTCTACTGCTCTATGCGGAGCAAGTCTATTTCATTGGCGGATTGAGATACCCTGTATATTTCGTTGGCAAATCTGGAGCAGCTCCGTCGTGAGATCCACTCCACGGAGCAACTTATACATGCGAAGAATTGTTTGGCGAACTTCAGCGACATTCAGCACCTATCTATCTATCTATCTATCTGTCTATCTATCTATCTATCTATCTATCTATCTATCTATCTATCTATCTATCTATCTATCTATCTATCTATCTATCTATCTATCTATCTATCTATCTAGCCGCCTAAAACTTTTAGGTCTCCAGGTCGTTTCGATAAAGGTATCAATACCAAACTAGGTAAGGCATAACATGACTGTATGAAGAACATATTTGACAAGTCATTACATAAAAATCATGACATGGATGTCATAAATGTCATGATGTACGTTCTATGGTCCTGCAGCTCTTGCAGTGGTTTCGTTGACGTGGCATGTTCCAAACTGGTATGGCATAACATGATTGCTTGGTAAACGCAAGCAACAGATCCTAACATGAAAATCATGACATGCGTGTGATGTAGCACCATGACTAAATGGCAAGCTCATGATGCACTAGCGGGCGTTTCGGTAGCTTCGCATATACAAAATTTGGTATCACGGGACGTGAATTAAT